AACCATGATTGATGAATATGCTTTATGTTTTCTTTGGCTTGTATGCCTTATCATGATGAATGTTTTGAAAATAAATATTTGCATCATGTTTGATGATTTTTATGCATGACGACTTGAAATAATAATTAGAAATCATATGTTTTGGTATTATATGTTACACTTTTTGATCTTGATGATTTTTTATCTTTCCGTTTTAAACGTGGATGTATAGGTTTCATACGAAAAACTTAAGTATGCTTATATGAAATCAATCACTTAAAATGAAACACATAAAAAGGCAAATATATTATCATTAGAATTAAAATGATAAATCAAATCTCTTGTTTAAAGAAGCCTTATGTTTAATATGTTATACTTTTTTGGTCTTGATGGTTTTTATAACGAAATTTACTTTTCGATCCTAAACGTTGATGCATGTTTTTATTTGGCAAAAATAAAAAAGACATACATCTATGAAATCAATCTTATGAATTGAATCACTAAAAAGAAGAAAGCTTTCTCCTTAAAAAATTTCTCTACTTTATCGATTTTTCAAAAAGGAGAGACTAATGAACCTATCTTTATTATTAGAATCTCTTGAAAATGATTTTGATTTGACGATTTAAATTTGAATGAGCTTTATCTTGATTTTTCGATATTTATAACTTGAGATTTCTTATGCAAGAATCAAGATATTGTATCATTTGATCTCCTATGTTTCTTTTTGCTATTTATAAAAAGAAAATATTTGATTAAATAAATCATGTCTTGTGGCATTCATGATTTGATATTATTATCTTCTATGACATGATGTGTAAGATCTAACATGTATTTGTATTCTTCCACTCTACTTCTTTCTTGTCTAAAATAAGAAAGGGGAGAAAAAAAATTGCTAGCTTAAATGAGAAACTTAGACATGTTAGATCTTCCAAATGCATAAATTCTTCTTATACATTTTTCGGATTATAATCTTGATCTCTTGAATTTTAGGCTTGATCTTTCATTTTTTATGATTGAAATAATGATTGAAACATTAATGATATGAATGCATGAAATACTCATGATATTGTTTTGATGCTTTAAAATGATATAAATTTACTAGCTTATGAGTATCATGTATGATATGATGATAATTTATTTTTAGTATCATGCATAGAGTAAGGATGATATATAAAGTTTTAAAATTTTGCATGTTGTAAATTAAAACTATAATGATGTACAAACATATTAAAATAATGATTAAAACATTGATGATATAAATACATGAAATACTCATGATATTGTTTTGATGCTTTAAAATGATATAAATTTGCTAGCTTATGAGTATCATGAATGATATGATGATTGATTTATTTTTAGTATCATGCATAGAGTAAGGATGATATATAAAATTTTAAAATTGTGCATGTTATAAATTCAAACTATAATGATGCACAAACATATTGAAATAATGATTAAAACATTAATGTAATTATGAATGATGATTTGATATTATGCATGCAACACTTCAGCTTATGAAAATGATGCATGCAATGATAAAATATTCATGATGAAAAATTGTTTTGACATTCATAACTTGATTATTTGATTATTCATCCTTTGTCATGATTTGAAAATTATTGTAAAGGGAAAAAGAGATACAAAACTGTATTCTTCCCTTCTTTTTGACAATGACAAAGGGGGAGAAAAATTGCTAGCTCAAGATGCAAAATTTGGAAACTTGCACATTGCAAAAGAATCAAACTTGCTAGCTTGCTCATCTCAAAAGAGAAGCAAGAAGTGCTATCTTGCAAATCTCAAGATGCACAAATACAAATTTACAAAATTTGTAATTTTGCACATCATTAAAACTTATGATGATTTGGTGATTATGCATGTTCTAAATGTTGTAAGATTCATTAGCTTGTATGATGTAGAACATGCTATCTTACTACCTTGCATATCTACAACTTGATAGCTTGAATGTTCTAAATATGATGTAACACTTACTAAATTTTCTAGCTTACAAATTGCATGATGATAAAACTTGATATTATATTTTTTATGCAATGATTTGAACTTGTATGTCTAAACATTTAATAAGTAGACTTCTCCTTTTTGTTGATGATAAAGGGGGAGAAGTATGATGATGTTATGCATAAGTTTATGATAACATGTTGCTTGGATTTTTGAATCCAAGAGTTCTATCAATATAGCATATTGATAGGAAGAGTTTGGTTAAACTCCGGGAGTTAAGGTTAACTCCGTCATCAATTGATTGTCGTCATAAAAAAGGGGGAGATTATTGAATCTCGAATTTTGATGATGAAACCAATTGATAGTGTTTATGATTTAATCTGGGTTTTGAGTGACGCAGGGTGCTTCGATCAGGGAAAGACAACTAAAGCAAGAAGAATCATGTTGGGCCGGAGAAACATGTCAGAAGATTGGACGTCGGGCCGAAGAATCAGTCGACGTATCGACAAAAGGCTTCGAGTTATGGATTCGGGCATCGGGCCAAGAAGAGCGAATATTGCGGCACGGATATCAGAGTTGCGGAGGTCAACTAGCCGATTGGGCAATAGGCCGCAAGAGAGGATGATGCGCCGAAGAATCGAACAAAGCGTCGATGGACCAATGACATGTCGGACGACATTATTCATGCTTAGTAATAATTGTCTAGATCGAAGTGTATTTTTATGTGTGCAGGATTAACTACGAAAGCAAGGCATAAAGCAAAATGAAGTCCCAGAGTCAAGAGCGCGATTTCGTTGGAAGTTCGAGAGTTCGTCGAAAGTCTACACGTTCATCGGAAGTTCTGCCGGAATTGACCGAGAAGTCCTGGAGCTTGGTAAAAAAACCTCATCGGAACTCACCAAGAAGATCATCGTGAAATCTAAGAGCTTGCCGGGAGTCCGCCAGAACATTGCCGAGAGATCGTTGGAAGTTCGCCGGAAGATCGCCGGAAGAAACCAGACTTATCTTGCTTAGATTATGTCTTGGGAATCGTAGTTAGCACATAATTAGAGTTGTGATTGGGAGGTAATCCCATCAACTCTGTTAGGGGCCAACTGGGCCCGAAGGTGGGTTTGTTTGGGCCGGATTTAAAGCCCAACCAGGGTTCTAAAACCCTGGCCGGCGGTGGCACCGCTTGGGGAACATCACCCTAGGAAATCTGGGTGATGGTACCGCCGACAGCAATGCTGCCAGCGGTGGTACCGCCCCTGTTCGGCGGTGGTACTGCCCAGTAGCAGATCTTGCGATGGTAGTACCGCCCAGGAACGACGGTGGTGCCGCTAGTACCCAGGAAACCTAGGATGAGACCCTTTTAGGCTCCAAGTTTGAATCAACTTGAAGCCTATAAATACCCCTCTCATCCCTGGTTAACAAAGATAAGCACAGAGAGTTTTAATGTGAGAAAACGTTATAGAAATCACTTAGAAATCCCCCCTCTAGATCTAACTTTAGAATTCCGTTTAGAGAGGAGTGTGTGTTCTTGTAAGGGTTGTCTTCTAAACCCGGTAAAAGGAGAAGAGGGGTGTAAGAAGGAGGTTGATCTTCGCCGATTAAAGGAAGAACGATAGTGGATGCCGGTGGTCTCGACGAAAGAGGAATCGACGAAGTGGATGTAGGTCACGACGACCGAACCACTACAAAAATCCGGTTTGCCTTTACTTCTTGCAATTTACTTTTATAAGCAAACTGCCTCTCCTTCTTACTATGCTTTTGCTACGCCTACACTCCGTGCACTTTCAAAGTTATTACCTTTACGAAATGGTTTTCGTAGAAATCAGATTTTATCGTACGAATGTTTTTCGAACCGACGTAATTTTTACCACTACACTAATTCACCCCCCCCCCCTTGGTGCCGACCCTTTCCTAACAAAAGCTAGTTGGATTTGATAGTCTCTTCTCCCTCGAATCTCTTTTCTTTTCCTCTCTAATCTCTTGTCTTACCTTTCTCCCCTAAAATTTCTCTTGGAAATTATCATCTTCCCTTGGTTAAATGTCACTGATGGGAGGTAATAAGTCCTATCAGTACTCTCATCAATATGCATCAAATCCAAAACAAAGAAGTATACTGCCTGATGTGCAAAGCACTATCAAAAAGAAAAGCAACTACACATCATATTCATAAGGGGCATGAATAGAGAGAAACAGCTAAGCTCCATACCACACGAGTTAGTACACATCAAAAGCAACGAGATGATTCATAAGCATAAAGAAGAAATACACAACATTCGAGATTAGCTGCTTTTATTCCTATCCAAAGTTCTACAAACATCCAACAACTTTAGAACCAAATCAACTTCAAACACATCATAAAGGCCATAACAGATGCCGTGGCCAAGACTTGGACCATGAAAGCTGCAGAAGTACAAAAACCAGCTAGTTTTGTAACATGACAAAGAACAAGAACCCTAAAATCAGTTTATAGCAGACTTCACATATCACTCTGACAGAAGAATTTAGGTAATTGTAATCCCCACTAGACAAATAGGCATACCAGAACAGGCAATAACTTTCAGACTCAGAAAAGGTTATAGATATCCCAAAATGTCAGAAAGACAATATAAACAAGAGAAAGAACGAAATAAATACTCAATAAACATTACGATTTCGTGGTCCAAAATACTGAAGATACAAAGGAGAAAAAAGCCCAACTTTGAATTGAAAAAAGGAAAGAAACCAAGAAAAACGTTCATAAATCAACGAGACAGAACCCTAGTTCTCATATCACAAGAGAATTTCATGGCTAGCATGATCAATAACCATTTAACAAAACCCTATTTCGCGCATCCTCATAAAAATCTAAGAAAGGAAACCATACAACCACCACAAATCATCAAATGATCTACAAATCTAAGCAATGGACAAAGAAGCCAATAAAACCCCTCTCACCAAGAAACATTTTTTACATCGGATACAAACAAGACAAAACCAGAATCAACAAAATCCTTCCAAAACAAGTAAACATTGAAGGAAACAAGAGAAAGAAAAAGGTGTAAGGAGAGAAAACAGGGAAAAGGGAGCACGCTTACGGTGCGGCCATCGATGGAGTGCTTGTCCTGGAGGACGCGATCGAGGACGGACGGATCGGCGAAGACGACGAAGCCGAAGCCCCTAGGCCGACCGGTGGCCTTGTCCCTCATGATGATGGCGTCGAGGACCTCCCCGTAGTCTCCGAAGTGATCCTTGAGCTTTTCCTCGGTGGTCTCCCACGATATACCACCGATGAACAGTTTCCCTTCGTCCGAATCCATCTCTCTCTCTCTCTGTCTCTCTCTGTCTTGTGGGATAGTGCAGGAGCGGCAGCAGACGGGGGAACAGAAGTGAGACAGGCGACGCCGCCGACCTTGGAAGCAAGGGGTGTGGAAAAGGGAGCCTCAATGGCGGAGAAAAATATTAGTTTAGTTTCCGATCTGACGGTCGAGATGGATCGACAGATAGAGGCAACAACAGCATCGTCAGGTCTCCATGCGCCCGTATAGTCGGTGAGAGCGCGCACGATCACCGGGGTGCGACAATTTCTTCTTTTTGTTCTTTTCTTTTGGGATTATCATGGACAGCGGGTTTGGGTTAGAGCGGATTCGGATCGGGTGAACGTCTATTTTATCCGACTCAATCACAGATATATATATATATATATATGTATATATATATATATATATATGTATATATATATATATATATATTGTTGTTGCACAAACTCAACATCATTAGTTTAATATAATATAATATAATTGTTTGTTTACATTCACAATCATATCCATCATACTTTTCTTCCAGTCTAAGGTGAACCATACTCGTCTTTTAGACTTTATTTTGGGATCCATTAAAATTTTTCGTCAATAAATATATGATACATAAATTATAGCTTTTTTTTTCTTATTTTCTTAAGAATTAAATCCCTCTTCATCGTTTACATTACTTTTAATTTTTTTACAACTAATTCTGTCAAGTCTTATCATCCAAATATTTAAAGTTGTTTACATCTAAAAATACTATTTATTAAATCTTAATAATACTGAAATGTTCAAGAACTCTTGAAAATCTGAATCGATTTTCCAATCAATTAAAGTTTTTGTTTATCGATTATTGTTGTCGTGGTCACTTTTGTAATTATTTTGTTGTATTCCTTTTTTTATCAGTGATTGTCGCAAAATCCTAGAATTAGGTATCATCTAAATCATACCTTCTCTCGTACTATAATAATGTGAAAACTTTAATAATTCATGGGAAAGACACATAAGAAATACAAGAGAGACTGACCTAAAATATCTTTTTGTCACCTCTACATTTTTCTCAAATCATTAATCTCCTATTCTTTCTAAATTTATCTTTCGATTTGCTATCTCATGCGCGTTTAATAGACATAAGTTATGTATAAGTTTATGTTTTTAACCTAATCCACTTGGACTCTCAAAGCTAATTAAAATTTTGATTTTATCCAAAGTTGAATTTAAGAATCCAACAAACATAACATTTCGAGAAAGTGCAAAACAAAATGCAGCCACTTTTAACCTCCTCTATACCAAAACCACAGTGAAAACAAGAGAGGAGGGTGTGTATATCTATAGTTCTCTCAATCTTATCATAGGTTTAGAATTCTCGATGCCGGTCTTTATCGAGATATCCAAATGCTTAATACATTATTGTGAAGATAATCGGTATTTCTTGACTCACAAAATCATTGGTTAAATCGGACATTTATTTTTTGAAAAAATAAAACTAAATGTAGGTTAATTGAAAAGTAAAACATGTATCACATCACATACGCCGAGGATGATAGAATGACAAATGCAACAGAATTTTTATCTCTTTCGCTCTTACAATAAAAATATTTGAATGTTCTTGAGAATTTAATTATATTCAGTAATAAATAAAATATTAGAGGACGATACTAGTGTTGTAGCGTTTGATTTTTCATATTTTATAACTAAAAATGGAAATTACTGCATAAATGAAAAAAAAAATTATTTAAGCCAAAGGCTAATACATAAATGAAGAATAAAGAAACACTATTACACATAATAAAGTAAAATAAAATTTAAATTTAAAAACATATTTGAGAAGATGATTAATGCATAAATTATGAAAGAAAAAAATTACATGGAATTAAATTGATGTAAAAAGAATTCAAGCCAAAGCCTTCTAAACATAAAGAAGATACTCACCTATGTTTAAAAATATATTTTTTTAAGATGAATAAAAATAAAATATATCTCCATCTTTTTAAGATGCAAATGGGGATCTGTTGCGAAAAACCTGTTAAAGCGGAATAATTCTTTCCTTCTTTGTGTATTAAAATAGGTTTTTCATCAAAATACCAACTTGATATCCAAATGAAAATATCAATCAGCACAGCATAAACAATAGAGCAAAAATCAATCACATAGTGAGACCAAATCTTTTTAACGTGGAAAACCCATGTGGGAAAAACCACGGGACCGTAGTCCACCTCAAACTTCCACTATCAATAATAATGATAACAGGTTTACAGTATGTCTTCTCTAGAATAACTAAAGGATCATAATAACATCAAGAACATAGATCTTAGCTCAACAATAGCATATCTTCATCATGTAGGATGGATCTCCTCAAAAGAGAATTCTAGGTCTCACCGAGTGGATATCGTAGGAAAGTACCTTAGAGAGGGTAAACTGCAGATCAACACCGTTAGGATTGTAGAATTTGCTGCAAGGATTCTCCACATAAAATTTGGATCGAAACTGACAATGTTTGGCCACCGATCGTAAGCAGAAAACTCAGAAACCTAATCTTTCTCTCTCTATTTCTCTCTCCTCTTTTCTTTACACGCCGCATGTTGCACGCTGCAATCTGATCTCTTTTTTCTCACCTTCTCTCTCCTCTTTTTAATTTCTTTCATTTACTGATTTGGGCTTAATAGGCCCAATTGTCCAAGCCCACATATGGGTTGGACCCAATAATTCTCCCCCTCCAGCTTATATGGTGGGCTGTACCAAGCCCGCTCTTTGCCTATATACTTCAAGCTTTTCCTTAGGCAAAGACTTTATCAACATATCTGATCCATTCTCATTGGTATGCACTTTTTCCAACTGTAATTCTTTCATCTCAAGCACATCACGAATCCAGTGATATCTCACATCAATATGCTTGGATCTAGAATGGTATGTTGAATTCTTGGAGATGTGAATTGCACTCTGACTGTCACAGTAAACAGTATATACTTCCTGTTTCAAGCCCAATTCCTGTATAAACTTTTCATCCATAAAGCTTCCTTGCAGGCTTCAGTAATTGCTATGTATTCTGCTTCTGTGGTTGATAGAGCAACACATTTCTGTAACTTAGACTGCTAAGAGACTTCTCCTCCTGCAAATGTCATCAAGAATCCCGAAGTGGACTTCCTGGAATCAGTATCACCTGTCATGTCTGCATCTGTGTAACCTTCTAACATAGGTTCATCACTGCCAAAACATAAACATAACCTGGAAGTACCTCTTAGATATCTTAATATCCATTTCACCGTTGTCTAATGTTCCTTTCCAGGATTTGAAAGAAATCGGCTGACAACTCCAACTGCATGAGCTATATCTAGCCTAGTACAAACCATAGCATACATCAAACTACCTACTGCAAATGAGTAAGGCACTCTAGAGATTTCTTCTTTTTCTTTCTCACTTGTAGGACATTGTTTCGAACTAAGTTTGAAATGACTTGCAAGTGAAGAACAAACTGCTTTGGCTTTACTCATATTGAATCTTTCAAGAACCTTTTCAATGTAAGTCTCCTGAGATAGCCAAATCTTCCTTTTCTTCCTATCACGAAGAATCTTCATGCTAAGTATTTGTTTCACCGATCCCAAGTCTTTCATGGCAAAAGACTTACTTAGCTCTCTATTAAGCTTTCCAATTTTTTCAATATCATGGTCAACAATCAATATATCATCAACATATAGCAGTAAAATAATAAAATCATCATCTGAAAATTTCTTCATAAACACACAATGATCAGATGTGATTCTATCATACCCTTGGCTCATCATAAAGGAATCAAACTTCTTATACCATTGTCTAGGTGTCTGTTTGAGTCCATATAAGCTTTTCTTAAGCTTACATACCAGATTTTCTTTTCCCTTGACTTTGAAACCTTCTGGTTACTCCATGTAAATTTCTTCTTCTAAGTCACCATGAAGAAATGCTGTTTTTACATCAAGTTGCTCAACTTCTAAATTCAAACGGGCAGCCAAACCAAGAACAACTCGGATAGAGGACATTTTCACAACCGGAGAAAATATTTCTTCAAAGTCAACACCTTTCTTCTGACTGAATCCTTTCACAACTAGTCGTGCCTTGTATCTCTGTTGTGAGCTATTATTTTCAGTCTTCAATTTATAAACCCACTTATTCTTGAGAGCTTTTTTCTCTTTAGGCAAGTTTACCAAGTCATAAGTGTGGTTCTCAAGTAAGGATCTCATCTCTTCTTGCATGGCTTTAACCCACTCATTCTTATTCTCATGTAGAATAGCTTCTTGGTAAGTTTCTGGCTCTCCCCCGTCAGTAAGCATAACATACTCATGTGGAGGATATCTGGTAGAGGGTTGTCGCTCTATAGTGGATCTTCTCAATGGAATCTCAACTGGTGGTGGAGGTGCCTATTCAGTTGGTTCAGCATCATCAACTGCAGGTGTATCATCACTGGTATTCTCACCACAATCTTCTTGTTCATCTCCCCCATGATCATCATAAACTACAGGTGAAGGAACTGGACCTAAACTCCAAGGAATATAAACAGAGGTTTCTGGCTTCTCAATATTATCACCATCATCAAACAATTGGTCTTCAAGAAACACAACATCTCTGCTTCTAATAATCTTCTTGTTCACTGGATCCCATAATCTGTACCCAAACTCTTCATGACCGTATCCCAAGAAGATACATGTTTTTGCCTTATTATCAAGCTTGGACCTTTCATCTTTGGGAATATGAACAAATGCTTTACACCCAAAGACTCTCAAATGATTATAAAATATATCTTTTCCTCTCCATACCCTCTCTACAACATCACCTTGCAGAGGAACTGATGGAGAAAGATTTATCATGTCAATTGTAGTTCTCATAGCCTCCCCCCAAAATGACTTCGGTAACTTGGCGTGAGAAAGCATACACCTAATCCTTTCTTCAATGGTTCTGTTCATTCTTTCTGCCACACCATTCTGTTGAGGAGTTTTAGGAACTGTTTTCTCAAGCCTGATACCATGAAACCTGCAATAATTCTCAAAATGACCCCTGTACTCGCCACCATTATCTGATCGAATACACTTTAGTTTTCTGCCAGTTTCTCTTTCAACACTGACATGAAACTCTTTGAAAGCATCAAGTACATGGTCTTTAGATTTCAAAGCAAAAGCCCACACTTTTTTAGAATAGTCATCAATAAAAGTAACAAAATAAAGAGCACCTCCAAGAGTTCTAGTTTGCATAGTACAAACATCAGTATGAACTAAATCAATAATATCTGATCTTCTAGATGAAGGATATGTCTGAAATGCAACTCTATGTGTTTTTCCAGCTAAGCAATGATCACAAGATTTAAGAGATGTACCTTGCAACTCTGGTAAGAACTGCTTTCTAGCAAGAGTTTGAAGTCCCTTCTCGCTGATATGTCCAAGCCTCTTATGTCAAAGATCTATACTTTCACCTTTTTGAATTGCATTAATCTCTCCTTTGTGTAGCTTAGCTTCCATGACATAAAAAGAGTTAATCTTCTTTCCTTTTTCCAAAATTAGAGAACCTTTAGTGAGTTTCCATTTACTTTCACCAAAATAATGTGCAAAGCCCTCATCATCAAGTTTGCCTGTAGATATCAAGTTAAGACGAATATCTGGAACATGTCTTACATCTTTGAGTATCAATTTGCTCCCAATACTGGTCTCCAAGCAAATATCTTCAATACCCACAATCTTAGATGTATCACTGTTTCCCATTCTGACATTACCAAAATCACCAGCAGTGTAAGATATAAAGAAATCACCATGAGAAGTAACATGAAATGAAGCACTAGAGTCAATTACCCAATTACTGTCCTGAGCTATAAGACTAACACAACCTTCATCACAAACAATAGTGGTATTACCTTCAGCAGCAACTGTATTTGTCTCTTTCTCATTTTTCTTCATTTCATTCTATTCTCGCTTCCAAAACCTACACTCTTTCTTCATGTGACATGGCCTATTACAGTGAAAACATTTGATATCTCTTCTAGACTTAGATCTTTCTCTATATCTATGTGGATTTCTGCTATGACTTTTTTCACGTCTTTCTTGTTTTTCAATAACAAATGCACCAGAAGAAGATTCACCCTTTTCTTTCCTTCTAGCATCTTCATTTAGCAAACTGTCTTCAACCATATCTATAGTTAGAGTCCCCTCTGGCGTGGAGTTACAAATAGTCACCACATACGTTTCCCAACTTTTTGGTAAAGAGTTGAGAAATAATAATCCCTGCATCTCATCATCTATATTTATTTTCATAGCAACCAACTTGTTTGCAAAACTCTGAAATAGGCTTATGTGCTCAACAATGTTACCACCATCTTTATACTTCAAATTTACAAGCTTTCTGAGGAGAGAAATTCTATTTCCTATTGTCTTCTTCGCAAAGAGGTTTTTTAACCTTTGCCAAACAACATCAGCTCTGGTTTCATCATAAATATGCTAATGCAAGTTTATATCCATCCATCTTCTAATATAGGCAATAGCTTTTCTATGTTGAACTTCCCATTCTTCATCGTCCATAGTAGAAGTTTTATCTTTAACCTTGATAGGCTTATATAAATCTTTGCAATATAGCAAATCTTCCATCATACGCCTCCAAGTGGAATAATTTGATGAGTTCAATTTAATCATACCATCTAACTGCTCCATTTCAATCATACAAGAAAACTAGCACCAAACAACATGTTGCTCTGATACCACTTGTTGGGAAGAAACCTGTTAAAGCGGAATAATTTTTTCCCTCTTTGTGTATTAAAATATGTTTCTCATCAAAATACCAACTTGATATTCAAATGAAAATATCAACCAGCACAGCATAAACAATAGAGCAAAAATCAATCACACAGTGAGACCAAATCTTTTTAACGTGGAAAACCCAATGTGGGAAAAACCACGGGACCGTAGTCCACCTCAAACTTCTACTATCAATAATAATGATAACAGGTTTACAGTAGGTCTTCTCTAGAATAACTAGAGGATCAGAATAACATCAAAAACATAGATCTTGGCTCAACAATAGCATATCTTCATCATGTAGGATGGATCTCCTCAAAAGAAAATTCTAGGTCTCACCGAGTGGATATCATAGGAAAGTACCTTAGAGAGGTTAAACTGCAGATCAACACCATTAGGATTGTAGAATTTGCTGCAAGGATTCTCCACATAAAATTTAGACCGAAACTGACAATGTTTGACCACCGATCGTCAAGCAGAAAACTCAGAAATTGAGCTCAATAGGTTCAATTGTCCAAGCCCACGTATGAGCTGGACCCAACATCTAGTTCAATTGGAGTTGTATAATTATAATCTCTTAGCTAGAATTCATATTATTAGGTACATTATTTACTATCCGAGGTTGAAACCGATTTAGATCTAATTTGATCCTTTTTTAGACTTGACCTTAGGTTGAACTTCTCTGCCAATATTATTCATTATGAATCCTATGAAACTATGTCGGGTCACTCTTGATAATATTACTTTGATGCTTAAGCTAATAAAGTAAGTGGAACAAGTCAAATAGACTTTGAATTTCAATGTGTATTGTGATGTACTCGTGGAACCTCTTTTATTGTGGGTGCTCAATGTCGATTACCTCTAAATGATACGCTATTCATGTGAATATATAACATCATCTCGAGCATAACTATCACCGACCTATGTCGAGTTTGAGATTGCATAACTTCCTTAACATATGGCATAGATTGGATTACAGAGGCAATCAATTGACAGGAGAACATGGATCCACAGGGAGTTAATGTGCCTATCACGTGGAAGTCATCTACCGTGTTATGCCATCCTCATGAATCTTGAGACTCGACCATGTGGAATTGAGGTAGTGTTGAGGTGTCGATTATACATATTTAACTTGCTAACAATGCAATGCCACGATGTCTGTTGTGTGGCATCGATAGGTCAATCAAGTGGAGCTGGAGTGTCACTCTCGTGGGCCTAAGGCATAAGTCACATGGCACTAATGTGTTGTCTATGCAGAATTGGGATGTCAACTAAGTGCAACCAATGTGTTGGTCGCATGGTCCTAGCATGTTGATGGTTTGGTATCAGTGTGTCGGCTATATTATGTTGATATGTTAGCCATGTGGCATCGATATAATCCTAGCATGTTAAGATATGGTGTTGACATGTCAACTATATTGTGTTGTGATGTCGACACGTCATTTTTTTATAACACATCGCCTCTCCCTACTTCTTGAGTTAAGAAGCATGGTAGAGTTAGATCAGGAAGTACTATTTGGTTTATTATCGATGTCTAAGGCCTAGAGGGGTGTTTGTGATTAACAAGGGTTAAGTTGCATGAGACGATGCTCGACGGGTTTATAGTGTCGTGTGTAGTGGGTCGACTAGGCCACATATAGCAATGCCCAGTGGACCAACTAGGTCGAGTGTGATAGTGCACACTGGGCTAGGTGTGACGATGATGCATGATGAACCGACTAGACTAGGCGTGATGGTGCACGATGGGTTGACTAAGCTAGGCATGGTGGCACATGATGGGCTAACTAGGCTAGGCACAGTGGTGAAGTCAAGTGGCATGCATGCTCTCCTCCTCGATGGCCATACAAATAGGGGCATGATCTAAAACATAAGCATGCGTACGATCACCTATGATCGGGTTGACATAACGTCATTTTAGTCATTCATGTGCCTAGATTATGGCAGGAGATCACAATCATGATCTAAATAATTTTTCGGCCATTCGGATTGTGCCACGCATCTCTATGCTATCTAGATTGAACCATGTTACCTCCTTTTGAGGCATTCAAGAGCTGAATGGGTGATCGGGCAAAGAAAACAACACCCTCAATTCCTATAAATAATGGACTGATTAACCTCCAATCCCCACAACTATCCAACTCGGACTCCTCTAACCAAGCATTCGGCTCTTGACTTCTAACTTTTCAAACCTCAAGGTCGACGATATCTTTATCTTTCTCTACCAATAGTTTCTCGAACTCAAATAGGACATTGATCCTATCACCACTCTCGGTGTTGGTAGTAGAATCTTCTTCCTCGATGAGAATCGAGTCGACTACTTCAGTGGAGGTTGCCCCTTCAAAGATGGGGCTTTACACATTTGACAATCCTTTAATTTAGATTCGATCATTTCAAATTTCAACTTAGACATAGCCTTGGAGGTCTATCACATGCCGACCAAGTTCAAGGCAATTGGTGCTTAGCCCGATGACATAGTCCATAGGACATTGTTTTGGATAGAAAAATAATAGCTTAATTGGCCAGGGTAGATGGGTAAAGTAGCATAGTAAGGACTTTTTTTAAGAATTTACTCGTGTTTTTATTATATTTGTATAATTTAATATATTTTTATATATTTTAATGATATAAATTGATATATATTAAGTAAATTATTTAGTATAATTTATTTTAAATTGATCCAAGTTTTAGATTGGTTGAATCCAACTAATTGTATAAATTATGTTTTTATTGTAAAAACTAAACTTTCTAACCGAATTTTTTAAAATAGAAACACATGGAAATTTTAAAATAGAAACACATGGAAATTTCTCAAAAATCAGATTTTTTTTTCAAAAATTTACTCATAAAATAATTTATGAAATTATCACTCAATTTCAATAGCAACATACTATATTCGGGCTACGTATTGTATGATGGGTTAGTCAATAACCACATGTCACGTTAACTCAAAATGACGGTCTACATTTGGCACACTTGGGCGGACATTTCGAGACAGTTGGAAGAACGGATAAGGTTGAGGATAAGATCGACGTTCGTGTCACCCGCTCCCAGCACATAAACCTACATCGTACTACTGTGAGGCCGGTCGATCCTGGCTCCCCCTAGTTCCATCCGTTCTCACCGTCGCATTCCCGGGAGCATCTGTCTCAAGCATTCCCTCTTTCTTCTGTCGTCATATTTGTGAGTTCTGTTCTGGTAGATTTTGATCGTCGAACGAGCACCCGCCTAAAGAGGAGTTTGTCTCTGCAATGAATATTCCAGTAATATTTGGTCATCTTAAATGTGGTTCCTGTGACCAAGGTTAGCTTCGAAAGACTTGGCGTTGATGGAAAGTTTAGCACCTTTAATCTAACTTCATATTATGTTTGAGAAAGAGTCGGAAGGATATTCTCAAAACACACACACACACAAGGATACTATTTTGGAATGTTTGTTTTAGTTCAAATTATTGAGCTGCATGCATTTTTTTTCCTGGTAAATTCAGATCAATTTTTTCAGCTATTTTTGGATAATAACTATTATTTTCCGGGAAGAAATGAACCCTTTTACATGACTGTATAACCGATGTGCAATAACTATTCATACAAAAAAGAAAGATGTGTGTAGTTACAGATTTGACACATTTTTGATAATGGATGGTGAGATGCATCATGTGTTATACTTGTGAACCGAAAATAAAAATATCTGGCATCCTTTTTTTATTGTTTTTTGGGTAGAGTAAAAGATCTCAGGCTTTGTTCCTTGGCTATGCACATTGTTCTCAGTTGTGGAGAAACTAATGTCATCTTGATTTTGAATCTCATACATCTTGTGTCACCTTCTTCTTGTCTTCTTTACATGCAGAAATAGGTAATATCTGCTTTCCTACTGGTTGATTGACATGGCTGCTGGGAGAATCATCAGCCAGCAGCTTCTGAGAAAGAGGCATCATATTCAATCATGTGTAAGCATCCCCACCATCCTTGTTCCAGCTACAGATATGTATAGCATTTTCCTGTTTGGAACATCCTGAGGACTCTCGTCGGCTCAATCATAATCATTTTCCTGATAGAGTACTGACATCGAGTATTCGTGTTCTCATCGTGATAGTCATAATGATTAAGATCACTTTTGTTCGATTGGAAATTGCTAATTGTAGAATAAGTGTCACATTTTCTTGCAGTTTGACTTCATCAGTTGTCAGAATTTTGTTGCAGGACCAGTGTGTTTAGTACTTGATCATTTCTTTCATCGCTTAAACTTGCGTTGACGAGCACAATGGAATAGCGGGCACAGCAGGATATTAAACTTTTAGACCACAATTGATCTTCTTATTTTGATAGAATATGTGTATATGATTCACTAAATGCTTTAATCAGATTTTGACGCTTATAGTGGTCCAATGCAATATGAAGTTGCATGTCCATTTAGGAGGGAGGATATGAAGTACTCGGATGTCAAGCCTATAGGCAAAAATTACATATGCATCCCTATAGCATGCTTCGTGAGTAATAAACCATTTTTATTATGTTCACAAAAAATTATTGGCTCACTTGCCATGCTGAATAGATTGATATATTTTCCAATGAACTGCTTCTCTAGAAATATTGATTGATTTCTCTATTTTGTTAAGGTGAGTTTATTAATTTGTCCGAGTCACATTACGTAATTCAATTTTCATGCAAATTCTGTAATTTGGATATGACATGACATCGTTATGTGTTGATCGAGCAGAATTCGACGTGGCCAACAAGTTTACCAACAATCTTGTGCTTCTTGTCATTCATTTTCTCTGTTTTCATATCGAAATCTGGTCGGTGTGGTATACGCCGAAGAAGAGAGAAAGGGTGTGACTGCTGACATTGAGGTGGTCGACGGACCAAATGATGACGGTGAAGCATTCGCACGTCCTAGCAAACTATGTGACCCTTTCCGTCGGTCACATCAGATTGAACGAGCAGCAATGACTTATAATTCAGACTTAAGCTTCATAAAAATGGTAATGCTTTTAACTATATGCATCTCTTCTTATCATTTTTTTTTTTTGTCTTTGTTTCTTCTCCAGTATTGCAAACTTGACCTTTTCATAACTATTATCTTTTCCCTACTCGCCGGCTCCCGTCATCCTACCGCAGGTGTCATTGGTAATGTTCTTGTTTAAATTGATATTTTGATTGAAAATGACTTCCATTGATGTATGACTTTTGACTTGTCCATGTTCAATTGGAGAGTGCAGTCTTATCTTAAATTATACTATTTTCTGGTGGCTCTGCCGTTATCTTAAATATAGAAAGGAAATATATAGCACCTTTCATCCTTTTATTTGTTTTATCGTCCATATTAGAATTTTATACATTACATTATGATTCCACGTATGACATAGATCCTATCTAACCATTGTTCCGTCATCTTATCTAAATGTTCTTTTCTTCTTTTCACGCTATATATTTTATACTCGATCGACTTATTCTTCTCCCATTCATTGTATTGATTTGTTTACTGTCATCGAACATCTACTATTTTGGAATCTTCACGTTATTCTACTTTCATCTAAGATTCTTTTTATAGTTTCTTGATGATGATTCGTCTAGAACACGTATCTTCAGTGAATATTGCACCTTTAATATATAATCAGGGAGACAATGATTATATTAAGTGGAGATTCCATTTCAGTATCATATAAAAAAAAAATTTATCATTATGGCATCTCAGTAATAATGTTGGGATTAGTAATTCTGTTGCCCAAAAATATTTATCCGGTTAGCGATAACATATTCATCCATCCATCATTCTCTAATAGGTTGAACCATAATCTTTTGTATGCTTTTCACTACACTTCAATTTTCGTTTGCTTGAAAGGCGCTGATTAATAATATATGTGGAAATTCAGATTCGAGAGTGCCTGCACTACAATCCTTGCTTCTCTGCTGTAACCACAACACCGAGAGTGCTCGCAGTCACAGATGATCCAGTCAATGCCACTCTTGCTCCTGACTCACTGGTAATGAATGCTTAGGTTCTTCTTCCATTTGTTCTTATTTACGTGTCCAATACCACCCAGTTTGACTTGTCAAACTTCAACAATTATATATCTTATATGAAAACATCACAGAAGGAGAAGGGGAAGGATGTTGTGACATTCTTATCATGGGCAACAGAACCTGAAATGGAAGAGAGGAGGCTGGTAAGATTCACCTTTTCTTTTTTCTTTTTAATTTGTAGAACAATGTCTTGCTCATCACTATACTTATCAAGGTTTAAGAATAGAATGACAAATCTCCTTTAATGTCCAGATGGGTTTCAAATGGATATTTGTGTTGTCGCTTCTTCTTCTCCAAGTTGCTTGTTATCGGCGCTTGAACGGATCAGTTCTCAAGTCGAGAAAGATGGCACTCAATTGTGTTAGCTAATCCACATGTAAATGTAAAACTACGCTTATGAACAAATGCTATGCTGTCAAGCAGTTCTTCCTGGAAGATTGTTGTATATGTGACTCTTGTATGTCGTAGTTATTGCCATGGGATGATATCAGTCAAGCAAACAAGTCCATCATTGATTTGTGAAATAGATGTTATTTTTGAAGCACTTGGTACAAAGATGTGTATATATATAAAAAAGAAAATAATAACTTATAACTTGTTATTCCCACTGAGATGTTGCTCAGATAACAAGATCTTGGGATCAAGTCTCTTCATCACTATTTATCATATATATATATATATATATATATATATATATATATATATATATATATATATATATATTTCTTCAAACCAAAAATGTTAATTGGTATCACCAAAAGATTTTGTTTTGTTATGATGTTGATTTTCAATGATCCAAACTCCTTTCTTACATATTGTGACATAACACATTATTATTGATGAATACAAAAGACAGACAGATTTATGAGAAAAATGGATACGATGATCCAGAAATCATAGCATAAATATATAATATATATATATTAGGGTAGTGTTTTATTTTGAACATTTAGATTTATATCATGACATTTCTTAGATCTTTTGTCGCTTGAGGAATAATTTCAAAATTGATAAATTTCTTACATCTAACATTTATCATTTGTTAAAAAGTAAATAAATATCAATTAATTTAATTAATAAATATATTAATACGAATCATATCTTCATCATTTATTCTTTAAAAAATAACATCACTGAGTTTATGACCATTTGGTACTAAATGGATTTTGGTACAAGGATCATGGGTATTATGGTCATCATGGGTGGTGCCTTCAAACTCCGGAAACGCTGCACGCCGACTGCCTCACAAGTCACAAATTCGAGACGGAGACGCCGCCCCCTGACCAAGACACTCGGCTTCGCCCATCTACCCTCTGCTGCCAAGATGGCGAAGCGTGGTGAGGAGGGTCTCTCTCTTCTTTACTCGGTTCCTGTTTCATTTATTTCCGTTTCTGTAAATTTTGTGTGTAGCTATAGCGAAGGCTTTGCAGAAATATAGCGGCAATGTTCTTTCTGCTTTTGCGTGAGATCTCATTTCTAGATGTAGTGGTTTTGTCACTTGATACACTGACTATTATGGTCGCTTATCTTGTGCTAGAAAGAGACGGTTTTCTTGTAAATGGATCGTTCACATGAGGTTCCAGTTGTTTAGGGATGCAAGATTATTGCCACTCCTTTAATTTGGTAATTATGATGCACAGGACGGAGAGGCTCCGTGCGAAATAATTTCCGCATGTTGCTGGGTCTTCTGGTTCTCTGTGAAAGGGATCAAGAGCTGGCAGAACGTCTCTCCTCTTATTGTGTCGGGGTACGGTGATGGCCGCCGTTAAGAAGGATTAGCCAGACCTGAGGGACAAGGCTATGCTTGCCCTCACCCTGAGGCAGTGGAAGCGGCGGTTCCGAGGGTATCAACTTCATTTATGATTCATTCCTTACTTCTTTATAATCATCATTGATTTATCCACTTATACTTTTAAATTTTTTCTGGCTTTTATACCTTCGCACACAATTCAAGCAACAGGTTTCATTATTCTTTATGGTTTATACTGTTGTCCAGCCCATACGTGGGCCTGGACAAATTTGGGCCATGAGCCCAAATCAAAGAAATCAAAAGAGAAAAGGCAAAATTGGGTGACGGTAGCGTGGGTGAGACAGTGAACGCATGCAGGGTGCTGAGGAAAGAGGAGAGAGAAAGATTAGGTTTCTAAGTTTTCTGCTTGATGATCGGTGACCAAACGTTGTCAGTTTCAGCCCAAATTTTATGTGGAGAATCCTTGTAGCAAACTCTACAATCCTAACAGTGTTGATCTGCAGTTTACCCTCTCTAAGGTACTTTCCTGCGATATCCACTCTGTGAGATCTAGAATTTTCTTTTGAGGAGATCTATTTATATGCTAGAGCCAAGATCTATGTTATTGATGTTATTCTGATCCTCTAGTTATTCTAGAGAAGACCTACTGAAACCTGTTATCATTATTATTGATAGTGGAAGTTTGAGGTGGACTACGGTCCCGTGGTTTTTTCCACATTGGGTTTTCCACGTTAAAAGGATTTGGTCTCCCTGTGTGATTGGTTTTTTGCTCTATTGTTTATGCTGTGCTGGTTGATATTTTTATTTGGATATCC